AATATAGATTAAAAATAGAATTAATTATAAATAAGATTAATTAATAAAATTACTTATTTATCTAATTTAGTAGTAATTAGTGATTATTATGTCATATATTATAGCTATATCATATACTGTGCTGCGTCTACTACACCACATGAATAAGTAATTGATTACAGGACCTCCAGCTTTAAGAGATTTATTCTGTAAATCTTTTAGTTATTAATGATGATTATTAGTTTTAGATTGTTAAACTCAATATATAATTTCAAATGGTTATCATTATATAAATTCTTTAAGACTTTTCTATCTTTATTTCTGAGCTTATATGCTTCTTTATTATATACTTCGTGTATATAAAACAGTCTTTTCCACTTTTCACCAAACTTAACATGATACTAATATTGAGTTTTCATTTATCTTATTAATACTTTCTATTCTATTTGAAAAACTGTTAACTTTTATTTCCTGTTATACCATTTTTTTTATTTTGATTATTTTTCTTGAATATTACTAAGGGCTAGTTCTCATGTAATTTTCAGTTTATCAATTAGTTTACATGTTCTTTTAATGAGAGCTTCTTCAAAAGTAAGATTATTAAAATCTTTTAATTTAATATCCAATAGCATGATTGCTTATTAATCATATACTAATTGAAAAGATTTAAATAAAATCATATTTTACTTCATTGTTCTGTAGATAAATAGAACTGAAGATAGATAATGATCCTAATCTTTTTTATAAAGTTGAATATACTTTGATAATGAAGTATATAAAGTTTGATTTAGTCTCTCAACTAGTCTATTAGTTTGAGGATGATAAGATACAAAAAGTCTGTGTTTGATTTGGTATTTGTCTAATAATTTCTTGATTATTTCATTGATGAATATAGTTTCTCTATCACTAAGTATTTCTTTTAGAAATTCATGTCTCATTACTATATCTTCATAAAGAAAAAAGATGATTATACTTGCAGAAGCATCAGTAATTGATCTTACTTTAATCCATTTGGTTAGATAATTAATAGCAATTATAATATAGTGATTTTCATTACTAGTTACTGGAAGAGATTCTACTAAATTAATTCTAATCTTTTCAAAAGATGTATTAATCTAAATAGATATCATTTTATTATTTTTACGCAGTTATTCTTTTTGTTAACATATATCACAGGCTTTAATATATATGTCAATATCTCTATATATCTAAGACTAATAATAATTTTTTATTATTTAATTATAAATAGTTTTAATTCTAAAGTGTCTGAAAGTAATATTTGAATGATTATTATAAAGAACTGACTCTATTTCTATTGATTTTATAACTAATAATGGATGATCAATATCCTATTTATTTCTTTTATATAGTTTGTAATTTTGTATAAAGTATTTTTTTGATTCTGCCAGTAGCCATTTCCATTTTTCTTTTGAGAATTCATTAGGTATTATTAGCATATTGAGATAGTTATATAATTCTGTATAGTTATCCAAATTCATATTTTATCTTTCTCTTTTGTGGATATGTGTGATATTCTGGAAAGTGAATCAATATTTGAATGGATTCTTTCAGATTTGTGTTTAATCTTAAAATTATATTCTTGTAAAGCTATTATTCAGTGTGCAAGTCTTTCAGGAGGATTTGACTTGTTGATTAATCACTTAAGTGCTAAGTGATCAGTAACAAGTATAAATGGAATATCTGATAATAGATAAGATCTAAATAACTTGACTGTCTAAATAACTTCTAGATATTCTAGTTCTGTTACAGTATACTTGCTTTTTTTCTTACTTATTCTTTTACTAATATAGGTAATCATATATTTCTTCTTTTCACTATCATATTATACTAGTACTATATCTAATTCTAGTCCAGAGATATCAGTAAAAAGAGTAAATAGCTTTGTGAAATCTGAATATGCAATAATTGGTAGTGAGGTCAAATGTTTCTTGAGTGATTCAAAAGTGACTTGTTATTTTTCTGTCATCTAAATTCTTCATTCTTTTTAAATAATTTATGTAAGAGAGCTATTATTTTGGCAAAGTCTTTGATAAATCTTCTGTAATAAGAGACAAGTTTTATAAATCCTCTTAATGACATAATATTGGTAGGTACTGGAAATTCTTGTATCTTTTCTATCTTGGCTAGATCAGAATGAATTTCATCTTTTCCTATGATATAACCTAGAAAGGGTAGTTGATTTTTTCCAAAAGCACATTTATCTGGCTGGAGTTTGAAATTTGCTTGCCAAAGTTTTTTTAAGACTTTTTATATATGAATCACATGTTTTTCTCAAGTTTCTGAATATATAATGATATCATTGAGATAAATAACTATGAACTTCCTAATGTAATCTTTAAAGATTTTGTTCATTAATCTTTGAAATATGGCTGGAATATTAGTAAGTCCAAAGAGCATAATATTGAAGTGAAAGAGTTCTTCATTGGTAATAAATGCTATTTTCTCTCAATCTCTTGGGTATATCTCAACTTGTCAGAATCTACTTGCAAGATTCATAGTGATAAAGTATTTAGCATTTTTGAAAGAATCTAAAAGTTCATCAATTTGTGATAGAGAATATTGATCTTTTTTGATGACTTCATTTAATTTTTTGTAATCTACACATAATCAGAATTTCCCATTTTTCTTTCTAACTATTACTATTAGAGCTGACCAAGGACTATTAAAAGGAGATATTATTTCATTATTCAATATCTTTTGGATCTCTTCTTTTAGAAAGATATTTTTTATAGATAATTTTTGATGATATAATCAGAGAGTGATAGATCTTTTTTCTTTTAAATATATTTTATATTAAAGTATATTTATTCTACCAGACTGAATCATATCAAAGAGATCTTTATATGAATTCAAAACTTGATAAAGATATTATTGTTATTCTGAATCCAAGTCTGACTTGATTATAGTTAGAGTAATATTTAATAATAGTTGAGATAGTATCTCTAACTATTAGATATAATTATTTTCTTTTTTACTATGAATACAAGCATTATAGTTTTCTAATCTCTCTCAATAAATTCTTTCTTTTTCTTCTAGTTCAATGACTTTATCATTGATTTTTATAAGATTTTTCTGAACTTCTATTTTCAGTACAAGCTGCTTACTTTGCTCTTCATGTACTATATATAAGGACTGATCAACTAACTCCTCTTCTTCAAATTCATTATCATCATCTTCAAGAACAAAACTCTCAAGTTCTCTCTTAAAACTGATTAATTTTATAATTGATCTTTGTTGAGTACAAGTAACTGAGATGATTATAGATTCTTCTTCAACTTCAAAATTCAAAAGTTCTTCATCTTAATTTAAAATAGTTTTAGATTGTTTTGCCCATTAGTTGCCAAGTAATAGATTATACTCTGTCTTTTTCATAACTAAAGTATTTATTTATTGATCAAGATCTCTAATTTTTATTCTCAATTCTTTTACTTCTCCTAGTAATCATTCTGATTTTCCATTTATTCCTATAAGACTGATGTTGGAGGGCTTATCAATTTTTCTTTCTATTTGTTTCAAAAATCTGGCTAATACAATATTACTGACTAATTTTGAAATAAAGTAAATATTAATATAAAAATAATAATCTTTTTTTATAATACTTATATATATTATTAATTAGATTTTCATGATTTTTATATTATCTAGAATTAGAGAAGCCAGAACCAATCGATAAAGTCACGTGATCCAAAATTTTGAATAGACTTGAAAAATCTAATTAGACTTTCTGGTTTTCACTTATATATATAATATACTGAACACAAAAAACCCCATAATAAAGAGAATTTGTTTTTATTGTCATGAGATAATTTATCGAATTTGGGTTATCGTAACAATTGCGGTGATACAAATAACTTTATGTCAGTATATTTGTACCACAATAAACCTCACATTTTCGGTTCTGAAAGGGAAGTTTCTGAGGTACATCTTCGGGGCATCAATTCGTTGCGGGACAGCAGAAATGAGACAAATGAGAGAACAGATATACGAGATAAACAAACTAGTAGCAATGACAAGAGTGAAAATGATGCCAACATTATTTTTGAGTGTTCCAACCAAGAAAAAATTAAAGAACTGCAATCAAGCTTGGGGAAATTGTTTCGAGACAGTACCTTGGAATGCTCTACATGGACAAAGAAAACCGCAGAAACGCCGTGTCATCTTGTACTCCCAAACGATGAACCTAAGAACAAAGACGACAGTTCTTCCGTGTGCTCAGTGTCAGAGGGTGCAGAATTCGATAAATCACCGTGCGTTAATTCTCCCATTTTAGTTGAAATATTAAGTGAATCTGATGGTTGTCGTGTGGCAACTTCTCTTTGTCTTGATCTCCAAACCGAAGATCCTAAAGAAAATACTATAATGGAGCTTCAATGTTACGTAATGGATGTTAAACAGTTTGATTTTAGACATCTTATTATTATCGGAAAACGTTATTGTGGAATGCTTTTTATGGATTGTTTTGGTCGCGTGTTTGATTGGGATTCAGATGGTCATGCATTATGGTCTCTCGGGGATTATTTCGAAATCATATCAAAGGAGAAATCTGAAAAAAACTATGATGATCGGATAGCATGGGACGTTTTAGAGGATGGAACTGTGTTTGTGCTACATAAATGTATGTGTATATATTTTACTCGCATTTTACCTTAATCTTTTGTAACTTTTTCTTTCTTTCAGATGTACCAGGATAATTCGATATTTCCTCAATCAAGCACGATATAAAAAAGAAGACAAAAAAGAAAAACAAGAAAAAGCGTCATTGATTTTATTGACTTTGGTGGAAAATATCTTGGGTTTTACAATTAACATAATAGTTTATTTTGCGATAGTCTATCGAAAAATAGTAAAGATGCATCTGATTTATTTTGAAACTTTCCAGTTAATAAAGTTTCGAGCTATCTTATGTGTCAGAAAAATAAAATAGGGATTGTGTATGCATACTTAATAACTGGACATTTAAAGTTTCAGTTTACTTAATAAGACCTAATTCTCTGGAATTACTAGATATGGGTCTTCGTAATACCAAACATATCTTAAACCAATCCAATTCTCTTCACATATTTCTTTCTTGAGTTGATCCCGCTCTTGCTGTTTAATAAATTATTGGGTTCGCCATTATGAAAGAATTCGATGTTATTTTCATGTTGCGCTCCTTGTACTTCAATACTGTGGATAATAAATGTCAAAGATGTAATCCATTTGGGTGCTCTGGAGTTTTGAGAAAATCAAGTTGACGTATCTTAGATGGGGGTCCAAGATATTCTGACACATTTCTCGACACAAATTTTCACATTTGAATTTTGAACAGTAGGCACACCATGTATAGAATTTTTTACTTTAGAAAGATCAGCACCTCATAGCTCATGCGTTTTTTATGTTCTCAAGTTCCGATTCTTTTTGGTTTTTCTGAAAGGTGCTTCACTAATCTTTGGCTCATCAACCTCTGGAATTTTGCTAAATTTTGGGATAATATATGATTTTCCACGAACTGTCATTCGAAATTCATGTTTGTTTGAATCTGGAATCCCATTAACTTTTCGAATAAATGGCATTCCTAAACAAAGAAGAAAATCAGTTTCGCCATCATCAATAACTACAATATTTCCTTATTGTAAGCCACCCATTCTTATGTTTTATAGATATTGCCACATCTTTATACCCTCCTATCAATTTGATTACATGATCTGAATCACTCTTAATAGAAATCCTGGTATCTTCCATCCTAATGCATCATTAAGTGTCTTATTTATAACGTTACATTCCGATGCATTATCTGAAAATGCGTCAGAAATATCTATATCTTCTATTTTACATTGCATATATTCAAGTGATTCTAACCATTTATTTTCTGGAGATGAGTTAAAATTTTTTTCTGCATTGCGGAAGATAATAATTTAGGTTCTTTAGTCAAAAATTTGCGTGAATTCACAGTTTTGTTTTGGCGTGAGCCAGCCGAAGGCTGTGATGTCTCATCTATTACTGGTAATATCCGTTTTTTTTTCATAATCATCATACCATATATCATCATCTTCATTATATCCATTTTCATCTTCACTTTCATATTGAGGATATATAGGTTTAAGTGGTGTAAAATATGTCACTTGAGTATAATTAGATTGGACTGTTGATTGAGTTTGGTCTGGACAATTATTTCTATTATGTCCGGTTTCTCCACAACGTTCACATTTTCTTATATATGCTTTTTTCTGAAATTGGTCCGTTTACTGGTTTATTGTATTTCGATCTTTATTAAGTGCTTTTTCTAATCTAATTATTCTAGCTGACTGTTTTGGTATATGATCAGGTAATGAGGAAAGAGTGTTATTTATATCTCCACCCCAATTAGGATTTCGTCTTCTTTCATACTCATCCAAAAATTTATTTGTATAATACTCTTCTCATCTATATTCACGACCAGGTGGTAATAGTGTTGGATGATCTATCGATTGGACAGTTTGTTGACTCATTTTTTATTAAACTCAGCTTTCAATTTTTCTATCTCAGCCTTGCGAGATGCATCCCGTTTTGCTAATTCGTCTTGGTTGTAATACATTATCGTCTTTTTGCTTTGTAATTGATTTTTTCTTTGATTATACTTGATTACTTATATCTTTTTCATTTAAATTTGGAGTACGTTCTAGCCACATATTTTTAGTTCAGTGAAAGACGCATTAATACCAGCTGGATTAGCAATTTTCATCCAAATGTATTTATATAAATCATCAGGTGGCATTTGCCCTATATATTGAGGAATTGGTTGAAAAGATTGAGATACCAATTTTAATACTGGTCGTCGTCTAGCTTCAGCCATATTTGGATTTATTGGTTAATTATTCTGTAGCAATAAAATCTGCGCTTGTAAATCAAAATTATTTGCCGTTCATCTTTCGTTTTATTTTTCCATTTTATATATCTATCATATAATCGATCTCGCCAATATTCAGAGAATAACATGTCTATGCTTATCTTTATAGGAATAGATCCAACGACGTCGTTCTTTTACTTCACTTTGATAAGCCAAGTGCATTAAATCTCTTTCTGCTTCAGCATCATATCTAGCCTGTTGTTCACGAATTATATCATTTTGCAAATTATTATATTTACGACGTATTTGTCTTGTGACTCTTTTTATTTGATTAGATAAAATCACTCTATTTATTCCTAGATTATCCAAATAGCCATCAATGGTATCGACTAATTCAGCTATTGCTGCCATTTCTTCTGATATATTACTGTCTGAGGAATTTGTTGATAAATTTTGCGATCCTTCACTTGAGCTTCGTGTTATATTTATTGACATTATTTCATCGTATAAACGGCTTTGTCTTTCTCCTGGTTGAGATGCTTCTTCAAGCCCTTTTTCTATTTGTATCATCTACTGATGACCCTGACAAAAACTTTTTTCTGCTATAGGTACTTCTAGCATATTATATCATCTTGCATATTATGAAGCCCTTGTCTATCGTGATTTCTTAATAATTTTAGACCAAATATTGCCATTGCAAGTCACGAATGCGTCTCCTTTGCCTACCTATTTGAATATTTCGTTCGATAAGATGTTAACGTAAAGTATTATTCTCTTGAAAATTATTTATTGCATCTGTCATTTCGTTTATTTTGTTATTAATTTGGAGAGAATTTCTTCCAGATGTGGTTAGTTCTTTGATCCGCACTTTGAGCTTTATCCTCGTTCATCAAACCTGACTAACTGCTTTTCTTTTGTAATAAGGTTTTTCTCCTTTTGTCTGATTTCCTTTTTAGCTTGGTAAAGGGATCTTTTAAGATCTGAAATCTCTTTCTGTAATTCCTCCTTTTCTTGATAAGAAAGTGATATAATACTTTCAAGCTCTTTCTCCAAGAATTGGATTCTTTCCTCACGTATAGTTATTTGCCTTTCGAGGCTATAATTTTTATATTCATAATCCCTATTTGATTGAACTAATTTCTCGAGTTCTTACGTAATTCATCCATATGAATGATTTTTAGTTAATTATTAATACTCGAAAGGAATGGAACGACCTACAATTTATATTGACCCATAGAGCGCTCGTGATCTGGATAGAGAGATTGTTTACAAAGATTATATTATCGTCCAGAAGGATATTATCGGACTGTGGAGAAAATGAGTGACGTCTGTAAAAAGGCTGGTTATAATTTTTCGTTATCAGACATAAAAAACTGGTTAAATAAACAAATTACTTTTCTAGTTCATAAATCTCAACCAAAATTTATTCAATATGCTTCTTTTAATAATATACAAAGGTTAAACGAGACGCATCAATCTGATCTTACTCCTATGCCTCATGACAAAATAGGCAATCGAGTTTTTAAATATAGGCTTGTTATAAGAGATGTTGTTAGCAGATATCGAAGAAGTATTACATTAACTATAAATCCGCTTCTACTGTAGCTAAAGCAATTAAGAAAATTTATGATGATCCTAATAACCCTCTTTCTTGGCCCAAGATAAAGGTACTGAGTATTTAGCTGAGTGTAAAAATTTTTTATAAAGTCATGGCGTATATTTTGATCCTAAAAAATCTAAACGTAGTACTGCAATTGCTGAACGGGATCATCAAGAATTTGAAAAACATGCTTATATTCAACAAGATGCCGTAGATTTTCATTTGCCTTTAACGGAGAGGTGCAGAATTTGGGTTAAGGGTCTTCGTATAAATAATGATATTTTTAATAATACTCCCACTCGTTTAATTCATATGTCTCCTAATGAAGCTGTCAAAAAAGCATTAAAGGGTGAAAAAATAATTGCTGATCCTGCTGTTAAACATCGTAGACCTATTGGTTATAATGAACCTCAATTAACTTATAGAGATTCTGTTTTATGTTTACTCGAACCTGGTGAATTAGAATTTGGTAGGAGACGCATAACTGACATGAATTGGTCTTCAAAAGTTTATCGTATTAAAGAATCATTAATACAAAAAAATCAACCAGTATTATACTGGCTTATGGATGAAAATGGTGTTGGTCCCGAAAGGTCATTTGTAAGAGAACAATTATTAAAAGTTAACGAGGTCGAATATAGATTTTACTTGATCAGTATTAGTGTAAGCTAATAATCTACTCATCTCTTAATACATCTTCATTCATAGGTCGCTCCTTTTTGGATAGCTCATAGTAAAGATTATATAGATTCTCTATACTTTCAAAAAGTTCTTTTTTATTTTGTAGCCAATTCCATATCTTGTCATTCTTTTATTATATGCATCCTCATCCGGAAAAAGTGTTATTGCAGTGTATTTTATATACTCATCTTTGTTTTCAGAATTACGCAAATTTTTTACATAACTGCATATTCATTAATAAGCTTACTATCTTTTCTACATCGAAGACGAAATGCCTCTTTTATTATTTTGATTTGTGCTGATTCAATCATTTTCCACGTAATATTAACTCTGAACTTCGCACATTCAAACTAAAATTATTGTCAGTCATGCTTGATTATATATACTTTGTTTTATATAAGTCATGTTCGAGAAGACAGCATTATCTTTATTTCTTTTTTATATTTCTTTCATTAATCTCGATTTTTGGATATTTGTTTGCCATTTGATTTATTACGTTCACAATTCTGTATTTTTATAGTTTTTATATTTGTACATTTTTGCGGTATACTTAAGATTGTTTTTGGTGCTAATCGAGTACTTCCATAGATATAAATATGCCTTAAATTTTTACATGCATCTAATGTTATCCTTAATGAATTATTATTAAGAAAACCCTCCTTATTGTAATCGATAAAATTATTATATTTTGACAAATACTTATAATGTCTTCTAATAAAAAATTCAGCTATATAATTATCACTTTCTGGATTCATTAGATAATAATTAATTATTAATTAGATAATAATTAATTATTCTCTCAAATTCTATTTGTCTTATGTATTTTATTGGATTCGGTAAACAAATTTTCTAATATTATAGTTATATAACATAACAATATTCTTCTCCATAATAAATATGACGCACATTCATTCCATCGTTTATTAACATATAAAATTGGAAATATTTCTATTAAAATTTCATTTGGAAGATTTATATCAGATTTTTTACTCGGGATACGTTTAATATGAGTTGAAATGTCTCTTTGAGGTGAGCTAGCTTCTGGCTGAAATGTATCTAATAAATGACTATTTGAAAGTAAATTAGGAATTTCAGGATATGACAGTTTCCAAGTAACTGTTATACAATTTTTTGACTGTACAAACTCCTCTTTTTTCAAGTTTTAACTCACCCATTTCTATACCTGTTTAGTAGATTTACTTCTCCTGCAACTATAAATCCATCTGTATGAATGCGTGTTTTTTTTCGTGCCGATGTTAACAAGAATGGTTTTATTCGTAGATGTATTCCATAATTTTAACCGTTTCTTTGTTCACATAGAGCACCCCATAATGAAACTAATAATTACTTTTCTAGCTGTTCCACCATGTTGTACAATATATTACCCCATTTACCAAACATGTCTTTTCCACTAATACGTGTACTTTTTCATATATAAGCGCATTTGGATATTCCTCTTTTAAATATACATTCAATCCATTTTCTTTAGCACATTCTAAATTATCAATGCGTAGCGTATTAATTCCATGTGGATTATAACGTAAATATTTTGTACATTACAAACTTTTCTTTGAAGGATTTCCCTCTATTGTGGCTCGATAAATTCCATAATAAAATGGATTACAATTTTTTGCTACTATTGGGGAAATACTATAAAACTTACCTGATGCAATTGGCCATGACGCCTCTTTTTTTAACATTTCATATACATACATTGAATTTACATCATATTGAATAGCTTCCCCCATCATATTTTTCTGCAGATACTAAAGTACCGGTTGACGCTAAATTTAACCATGCATTTTCTTTTTCGTCTAACTTGTCACTTCTTTTTGGAGCTAAAGTAGTTTCTCTAAAAAGTTTTAAACTTGTTAAAGTATAATTTCCTGATATTCTCATATCGACTTGTCCATTTGTTTTTTCTGCTATAGCCTCTGATTCTTCAATAATTCTTTTATAGTTGTTTCTTCATTATTTGCTTTAATAAAATAATATTTGTTAGATATTTTACGAAACTCTTCTTTAACACCATGCCATTTTCTTTTATTATCATAAAACTCGATTCCATTTGATATCTTTTTATAAATTTGTATAGTTTTACCCTGGTAGCTTACGCTATTAATTGAATTAGATCCTATCCTGGGGTCCGCTGGTGGCATGCTTTGCACACTTGGCTGGAGCGTTGGTGGGTTTTCATTGAACGAAATGAAATCGCCCCTCTGGAGCTGGTGCATTTTGTGTCGGAGTCAGATTCTCAGCAGGAATTTGAATAGCTGAATTTCCTACTGGAGCTTGAGAATAATTTTTTAGGTCGGCAGGGTTTTACTCGATTTAAATGTTGTTGATACTTCTGATATGTAGAAAGTTTTAAGCCACATCTATCGCGAGTAGTATTTTTAACCATTGTGTATAAAAAGTATTATATACTGTATTACTTTTTAAAAATCTTTAATTATTTACCCTAATCAAATATGATCGGTGAATATACGTGCCAATATATACATACAGTAATTCTTTGTGTACACGTCCTGAGGGATGCCATCTTCATTATAAGACAAAAAAAAACGTGTACCTTGTACTGATTGTGGGAAACCAGCTGCTTTCGCTTGTGGACGTTGCAAAATTCATAAAAGAGGATATTATGTTACATCCTTTTATCAAAGACTTCGTGAAAAAATACAAAATATAGAAAATAGACATTCTATGACTACTTTTGGCGTGAATCTACCCATTACTGACATGTCCCAAGGCTACCTCAACCCCACAATAGATCAGGATGAATCTTCAGTTGCTTCGTCATCCGGGTCTTCTACATATCCATGACTCCTGAGATTATACACGCAGAATCTTTGGACAATAAACTTGAATCATCATCTGTGATTATTAAATTATTATTATTATTATTATTATTATTATTATTATTATTAACCTATAAACGACGAATCTGAGACCTCTACTGAATTACCTATAAACAATGAATCCGATGATAGAAGTTCCTCCTGGATATCTAACTCGAGAGCAAAGAGAGGCTCGTTTAAGAGAATGGGCCATTAAACACGGCGAGGATCCAGATAAGTTTATGATTTAGCACTGATTTACCATGATAGATTATGCTCAGACACAGATATGATTCAGTTCACAAAAGATACTAACGATGATCCAGATACATTAATGGATATGTCTAGGCGTGAACGGTTAATAAGTGAAGAAATTATGCTCAGGATGTATGAAGATGATGTTGAATTTTGGTAAGAAGTTACAATGATGAGAAAAATAACGATACTACAAGAGAATAGATACCTTTGGTAATTGTAGTATCTTTCATATGACATATCGGAGGAATGTCAAACCTTATCCACCATAATATAGATAAGTATTATAAAAATTTAGATCGAAAAATAATCATGTGTCATCTCATAATTTATGTATCTCTACCTATCTTTTTTACTATCACAACTATATAAAACATTAATTTTAAATTGAAGGAAAATTTTCCATAAATATAATCCAACACAATTATCCCAAGATACAATGTCAAAAGTTGCGACAAATTTTGTAAAACAATATAATTTAACGCCTCAAATAAGTATAGTTTGAACTTAACTTTTATATTAATGAATTACTAAGATTCTAAAGCGCGTGATCATGCTCAAATAAAATAAGATTTAGCAGAGACCAAACATATGCTTTAATTCCTATACAAAATTCTGGAAGACACATTACAGGAAGAATTCTATTATTGAGAGAAAAAACTATTACAAATAATTGAAAATTAAATATTCAAGTTTTTATTATACAGTCGATAGTCAGCTCTCTCGACCCTTTGGTTAGAAGTTAATCGCTTTAAAGCGCAGTTTGCGAATTTTTTTTATTGAAAAATTCTCTTAACAGCTTTTTTACATCAACTAAATGGTGGTGGTTCAATGTAACACATGCCTATCAGACCATCTGTGAATGATTGAGTCTGTATTACATAATAATACATGTAGTATGATTTTTGATGATTAATAGCAAACTAATAGGGGTAGATTTTATGTTTACGCTGAGTATTCTTCACACGATAGCCTCGTCATGAGGCGTATCCTATCATAATAGATGACTGATAGTGATAGAAAGATCGTAACTATAAAATGGATAATTTTTTTTATAACATTTTATTTTCTTTTTTTTTTTGTTAACTTTTTATTATTGCTTTGCTTAACAACATAACGACTTCTTGGAACGGACGCTTCTTGTGCTTGACTTCTCGGAACGGACGCTTCTTGTGCTTGACTTCTCGGAACGGATGCTTCTTGTGCTTGACTTCTTGGAACGGTATATCATGTTAACTGCGTGACTTCTTCGTAGAGCGGTGGTTGTGTTTAACTTGCTTGATTTTAGAACGGTTCAGAACGAAGGGTAAAGTTTGTCTTGTGTTTATTTTCTAGCTTAAGGTATACGGAAGCAAGCCAACACGACGACTTCTTAGAACGGTATATCGTGTTAACTGTGTGACTTCTTTGTAGAACGGTGATATTGTTAACTTGCTTAACTTTAGAACGGTTCAGAACGGAGTGTGTTTAACTTACGTGATTTCTTCCTAGACCGGTAGTTGTGTTTAACTTGTTTGACTTTAGAACGGTTCAGAACGGAGGGTAAAAGCTTGCCTTGTTGTCATGTTACTTGCTGCTTGCGACTTGTTTATTTTCTAGCTTAAGGTTTACGGAAGCAAGCCGGCTTGAAC